AAAGATGCCGGCAGGTAGCGGCGTGGCAGGGGTCGGCGGGGGCAGCGGGTGCCGGATGGGGGCCAGGCTTGGTTTTTGGTGGGGGCACACTGCCAGCAGTGGGACCGCGCCCCGGGGGAAACCTCCTTTGTAGGCACGGAGCAGCTGGAGGCCATGGTGTCCCCTCGCATCATCAAGACCCACATCCCAGCTCACATCCTGCCCAAATCCTTCTGGGAAAACCGCTGCAAGGTAATGGCTGGAGGGGACACACCTGGAGGGACTGGGCAGAGATAAGGCGGGGACCTGCCCTACCGGGAACTTGCAAGTCCCCACATGTCACCAAGCCCTCTGCAGATGATCTACATGGGGCGCAACGCCAAGGATGTGGCCGTCTCTTTCTACCACTTTGACCTGATGAACAAGCTGCACCCGCACCCCGGGACGTGGGCCCAGTACCTGGAGGAGTTCATGGCCGGCAGAGGTGGGACAGGGCACCCCTGGGGGGAGCCACCCCATATCTCTCCACCAGCCCCCCCCACTGACACCCCCTAGCCGCTCTCCCCCCACAGTGGCGTATGGCTCCTGGTACGACCACGTCAAGGACTACTGGGAGCAGAGGAAGGACCACCCCATCCTCTACCTCTTCTATGAGGACTTGAAGCAGGTGAGGGACCGGGGTGGATGGTGGTGTGGAATGCGGGGGGATGGCAGGGGGTGAGCATCGGCCTTTGTCCTGCAGGACCCCCGCCAGGAGATCGCCAAGGTGGCCCGGTTCCTGGGGCGGGAGCTGCCGGAGGCGGCGCTGGATGCCATCACCCGGCACACCTCCTTCGAGGCCATGCGGGACAACCCCACCACCAACTACAGCACGCTGCCCTCCCACTTCATGGACCACGGTGTCTCCCCCTTCATGCGCAAAGGTGAGCGGCCGGGGTGCTCTGGGTGCATCGTCCTCCCCAGCCCCTGCTGATCCCCATCTTGCCCGGCCCCAGGTGTCACCGGAGACTGGAAGAACCACTTCACCGTGGCCCAGAGCGAGCGCTTCGACCAGGACTACGCACAGAAGATGGCAGGCACCGACCTGCGCTTCCGCACCCAGATCTGAGGAGGCACTGCTGGATGCCCCCCAAATCCCACCCATGCCAATGGCACCACCGCCGTGCGGGGGGCTCCTTCCCCCTCTCCTGTGACTGCTGGGGAGAAATAAAGCGTCCACCTTGACCCCCCCACGGGGGGG